TTTTTTCAATTTTTAAGGGTAATGTCTTCGACTAGATACGATTTGTGATCTTTTGACGTATCATTGAAAGAAATCGGTTCGGTGAGAGCTGAGAAAAAGTGGTAACAGAAAAAAAAAAAAAAAAAAAACACATCTTAGTAAAACCAATACCTTCTCAGCTTCGCATCGAAGCTAAAAATTAAAGGTTATATCATTTAATAATGAGTCAATAATAAACCCTAGCAAACGTTTTATTCATTCATCGAGTGATATAGACAAATCATTTTCAGGTATAATAATTTTTGATATAATTATTTTTGGATGCCTATTGAGTGATTTATACAATAATATTGAGAAGTATGTATAATTATGCGTTTGAGTCAAACAAATACATTAATTTACAATTGTTATATAATATAAATGAAATATATTTAAATTAAGCAATAAAATTCATATATTTAGTAAAAATCATTAAGTCGTATCACATATGGTTCGTCGTATATGATCAAATATTCGTAAATATGACATTTTTGGCAATTTTACGAAATATTATGTATTTTGACATTTTTCTAAAAAACTAATGGATTTAAAAGAAATACTGTAAGGATTTAATTTATACAAAACAATTAGATCTACAATTTAGTTTCAATATTTTTTTTTCTGAGAGCGCTAATTTACGAGTTAATTACTAAAAACTAAAAAAGTACCCCTTTTGGCCGATTTTCAACCCCAAGTCGGCATGGGTTAAACTTATCTGATCGGCCTGAAATTTTTTGTAGCCTCTTTTTATATGTATACATACAAATTTGTGGGGTGAGCCCGAAGAATTTCCAAAATTTTCAAAATAAGGGACACTAATATATATATGAATATTTATTTATTTAAAATTAAACAGCAAAATAAAATTTAAAATGATACACTAGTGCAATAGTAATATATATAGATAGTACCTTTCAAGTACGTCGTGAGAAAAAGGCGGGTGGCGTTAGTTCGCGTAGGACGTCGAAGGCAAGATAGATCGTTCACCGCCGGCGCTCGGTGGTCGACCGTGGCGACCGATAATAATAATAAGGCGACTGATGGAAAAGACAAGGTGACCGTGTATTAAACGTATCGCAAAATATACGGTACTGTGTCAGTACATTTTCTTCATCGCTATCAAAAGCTAATATTGAATCATATTCAATCTTATTTAACGGGGTCCAGTCACTGCTACTATCTTCAAAAAAATCATCAATTATATTAAAATAAAAAAAAAACACTTTTATAATATAAACAACCAAATACGTCGTACGAGACGTATAACACACGGAATAACGATCGGATAGTAAGACAAAACGACGATCACTAAGAATAATACAGTATTTTCCGTACTTACTTTCCTAACAAATTTCAACTTTAAATCTAATAATAATATTATTATTATCTTGTGTGTGTACTAAACTTAGTGTAACAATCAACAATACTATTCGATGTAGTAGAACGACCCAACTATCTGAAATTGTTTCAAAGTGCAAGTAGATAAAACGACTGATCTTAGATAAGTCGTTCTTTACTAAAAATAATTTATTACATTTAAAAGTGTAAAACGTCGTAATTATATCTCCAATCAATATTAATACAATTTTGACTTGTATTTGTCGTTTTAGCAAATCAATCAGTAAAATACGAATTTTTAGAATATGCACTCATCTCAAAATTTTCAAATTTTGAGTTGCGTCGTTCTTTTTCTGGGAGTGCGATATATGGATTTTGCGTGATTCTATCATTGATATCATATTATAACATACTCCTTGTTAGGAAATATGATAATAAATGCACTTATACACTATTATGTTCACTATTACTTATTATAACATGTTAGATAACATTTATATATATATATATATTTTTTTTTATAAACTCAATTCTACTACTATTTGTATTTTCATGTCAATTACAGATGCTTATTCAAGTACTGTTGCCAGTAAATAACGTAAAAAGATAATGCTTACATAACATGGATTAACATTTAATACCATAGGAAAATCGCAAAAAAATCAAAATTAACCATATTTCAAAATATTATATTAACGTAACTACTGAATTCAAATAAGAGATTTTGGTATCAAAATTTTTCTTTAAAACTTATCTATAAAACGTCTATCTACAAATCTTAAAATGAATTTCATAAAAAAAATTTTTAATTGCTTAACATAAAACATATTTTAAATTTATTTCAATATTGTAAAAATTTAATAAAAAATTAAGTATAAAATGTTATG